CCCCCCCCCCCCCCCCCCAACAACCCCTTCCAATGCTCAACGTCATTTACGGTAATAAAACAGATGCGCCCAAGAAAAAGATTTGGTCTGCACAAGGCTTTTTGAGCACCAATCAGCCCATGAACGATCGCAATGGAGGTCCTCGAGACCAATGTCAATGTCAAAGGTACATCGCCCAGTCAGCACTCGGATGCCCGGGGCATTCCTGATGCAAGAGCCAGAGGCCAAGGCTTTACATGATGCAAGCACGTGATGCAAGCTCCCTACAAAGATCTTAGGCAGCTCTTTTGCCAAAGCCCCAGGTTCTGAAACACGTATAACATCTATAGCCATTTGCAACAATCCCACATGCAAATGGTTTGGCACGAACGCACCTCGAGGCAGTGGCTCTCGTGCCAGCAGCTCCAGATGTTACAGTGCTTGCGGCCGCCACACGAAGCCCCGCATGAGTTATGCTGGGTACTAGTCACAATCAAAGCAAGCGATCTTTCCCAGGTCTGCGCGGAGTTCCATTTGTTTGGGGGAGGCTACCGACTGCATGGTCGGCCGGGCCTCATCTCCCAGCATTCTTAATGAAAGGGCCAACTCTGCAAGGTCCTGGTGGTCGGCTCCTACTACTCTGGAGGTGTATGCAGGGACCCTAGTGTTGTCGCGTGCCCATGTACAGGAACGCGAAGAGAAGCAAGATCCCCGGTCTGTGCAGGTCGGCACCACCAACCAGGTAAGCAGAAGCGCGCGATGTGCTGGACCCGTTCATGCGGGATGTGGTCCTGGGCAAGCCTAAACCCTAGACCCCAAATCCGAAGCCATAAATCCTAAGCCCTAAAGCCTAAACCCGAAACCACACGCTCATGGGAAGGGGACGGAGGGGGCGGGGGATAAACAGCATCCTACACACGCATAAGGCCTCTTCGAAACTCAGACATGATTACCAAAAGCCTGGTCCTAGATATGCCTTGAAACACATACGGGAGTTTCTCAAAGTTACCCCTATGAAATCTTTAACAAGGCCCATCATATCTTTGCAAATCCGCAAATCCACGTTCTTCAACATTTTTTCAGGGCTTCCTACTTGCAGAAATTCATATCCCCTATATGTGCCCTACATACCCCTATATTAACCCTTCTAGGCCACATGGTGACATCTGCTGATGTGGAAGTCGTAGAAGCATCCGGCTTGCTGGAAGCTCCAGTTGTGGTGGTGGTCCTTAACCGAGTGTCTGATATTCAAGGTTTAGGGTTCAAGGTTAGGACCGCGTACCTTGGTATTGAGCTTCGGACATGGGACCGAAGCAAAATCTGCCGAGATTTAAGGGCTTGGGGCTTCGGCTGGGAGGAGGGACCATTCAGTCCAGCTAGTATGAAACATACTTGAAGGGTTCAGGTTTTAGCAGGAAATATTTAAGATGTCGGGTTGAGGGCATACTTGGAGTCTGTTCTGTGCTTCTGCTCTTACGCTTCTCGACCACAGCGACCTGCCTTGCCGTGGGCACCCGGTGAGAGCTGATTCTACTCCCATTATGATATATCTCCATATTAGGAGCATTTAATATTAGAAGGTGGGGGGTTTCATATTAAGGGGAGGGGCTTATACTACATGCAAACCCTAAGTGCACAGGAAATCCAACTCGCTTCGCTATGCAACGCCAAATGTAGGTGGTTTGCCGACACCAGGGCCGGGATCCAAGAAGGTTCAAGGTTTTATGGTTTATGGTTTGGGCTCGTTTTGTTTGGAGTGGTTGTTCATTGAGAACGAAACCCTAAACCCTAAACCCTAAGCCAGAACCTTAACCCCCAAGCGCTAAATCCTAAACCCTGACCCCTAGATCCTAAACGCTTACCGCCAAATCTGAGCTTGGATCAAGTTGAGCATGTCCTCAGACGTGGATGCAGGAGTACTGCTCGAAGAAGTCGATCTAGATGCTGCGCTACCTTACCATGACACACAGGGACGCGTCTCATACTACTTAATTGGCAAAGGGGGCCCTGTCTTGAGTCACGATTATCCGCAGCTGTCGCCCGGAAACAAGTACATGTGTCTTTCGAAAGCCTTCATCTCCCTAACTAAGAGTCATCTGCTGCAAAAGATGCAAAGGGTGGTCATGTTTGGAATCCTATTTCGGCGTGTATGTGGGCCCTCATTACCCATTTCTGCAAGCTGCCAACAGCTGCCAACATCTCGGTTTGGAGGGCAGTGACGAGTTCTGCGTGCAAAAACTGTCCTCGACTATCGCTGCAGTTGCCCACCTGAGCAAGCTGCTTAAGGCTCAGGCTTCTGGGTTGCTGTTACGGAACTTAGATTAAGTTACCATAATATAGGTATGTGGTAAATAATTGGATTTCTTTACTATCTATAGCAGCATAATATAAGTTCCTTCGCAGCCACCCAGGCTTCGTAGGGACACGGATATGACCGCCACAAGGTTTTAAACACTAGGCTTCTTGCTGCTTGCTGCTGACTGACTGCTGCATTCTTGAAAATGCCTTCCGTGGCTGAGGACTTGAGTCTGAGAAGAGGAAATGTGGCTTGACTTGTGCATTCGAATTGCCCATGGTTTCGAGTTAGGATTGGCAATCGTGCGGACGGCTCAAGCCAGGGTATGGCTTCATGGGTGCCGGTTTAATATATCTGTTCCTTCAGGAACCTGCACAGTACTCAGGGACCGGGAGTTCGATGGGATTCGGAGACTTAGCAGCAGAATGTCCCAGGCAAAGACACAGAAGCTCCTCCGACTGAGTTCCGGGCTCTCCTAAACGCATGCAGCCTCCCCAGCAGAACCACAGCCCATCGCAGGATGGAGTTGGAGCACATGGACACACAGGAACACTGGGTCACGCTTGCATTGTAAGGACAGTCCAGTTCTTCTGTGCAGGACTCCAAGCTGATTTCAGGGGTGTCGTTCTGGGTCGCCGGGAAGGGGCTCAGAACAAATAGTCGCAGATCTCCTTCTGCACCGACTGTAGAGTTGCCAACGAATCGAATGCGCCGCTTCTTCAGCCAGTTCGGTCGCTTCCATGTATCCACTGTGGTCACCAGCCCATCATAAACAAAGTGGCCGCCGGAGATGGAGAAGCCACTGATCAATCCGGATCCATCCGCCGGACGGAAACCTCCAAGCCCGCATCTTGCATGTAAGACCACGGCACCCGCATTCAACACCACAGGATCTACGTGAGAACACCACTTGAAGGCACTGGGGTCTGAGCTCCGGTCAAATTCCAACTCCTGTGCCAGGCGATTGCCGTTGGAATCCGTGGCAAGAGGCGCGCTGGTCTCTGTGTGAAAGTACTCGTCGATGTGTAAACGTAGGCTCGGAGGCTCTGCCTCATCAAAGTTGGGACCCCCATACTGCGCCCCGTAGATGTGCATCGCCGTGCGGTTTCGCTTCACGGCAAGCAGGTCCACCAAAACGAAGGCACCATCCGACACAGGACACGCGTACCTCCTCATGACGTCCAACCACCCGTCGCTTCGGGAAGCTCCATAGGGAACAGATCCATCCAGTTCAAGACACCGGCCTTCCTCAGAATCAGTGCGGGCCTCTGAATAGCCTAAGCTGCCAACAGCCAAATGTAGCTGTGAGAAGTTGATCTGCTCTTCTGCATCCTTGAAGGCCTCGCGCACCACCACCGTATTGTGACCAGCTGGGTTGTTGTCTATGTACTCATACCTCCGGGTATCCCAGGGGCCAACAGCCGTCGAAATGGTGCCGTAGCCATACTCCGATATCAACCTCGCACCCCAAGCGGACCAAATAAACGTGCCGAAGTCTACCTGCGGCTTGGGTTTAGGGGCTTAGGGGTTTAGGGATTTAGGGTTCAGGGTTGAGGGATATTGCCTCCCAATAGTGGAAAATCACATGGAAAAGAAAGTGGAACCGTAATGGAAACTAGGGTCATTTAGGGAAGTGGCTTCTAGCTTCCACGTAACATTCATGGAGGAAACCTTGCACAATCTTGCATTGCTGAGGAAAAGCTTTTAGTCAAATTTAGGATAGGGGTTTAGGGGAATTCGGGTGGTGCAAGATTTCGTCCATCAACAATGTGCACCTCTTCCTGCTGTCCTTACTAAGGCCGTTTAAGAAGCCCGAATCTCTTACAAACCGCTCTATAACCTCAGTTTACATTTCATTTTCCTTTTCTATGTGATTCTCCATTATCGGGGATATAGGTTCGGGATATATGTAGGTGTTGCAAGCGGCTTGTAGCAATCCCTCTTAAGGGTTATATAAGGCGTTCTTTAGGATGCTGTCCTGAACGGGGAAGCCTTGTTTCGTGAAATACCCACCTCAGAGTGCGAAAACGAGCTCGGCCGCGCCTGCGAGGGTCGTAGAACATAGGGGATAATGGAAAAGAAAATGGAAACTACGGGGGTTATAGGGATTGCAGGGATTATGTGGATTATATGGATTATTAAAGGGCTATATAGGGATTATAGGGTATATATTGGGGTAAAATTGGCTACTATAATGGGTTGTAGAATGCAAGGGCTGTTCAGTAGCTACTGCCCCAACCCTATAGCAATCATGCAGTATGCCTTCATTAAAGCACTCATGTAGACCCCTTGTTAATAACCCCCCCTCCTTGATAGGGATCCTAATATGTAGGCCTCAAAAGGAAGGGGTTTATTTATTAGAGGTCTACATTCGTAGGGGTGCTGTTATGAAGCTATTCCGCCACTACACCCATGGCAACATAGCATCCCACAGGATGCAATTCCTTGGGCTCTGCCCCGACCCACGGGCTTCAGAGTTTAGGGTTTAGGGTTTAGGATTTGGGGTTTAGGGTTGAGGGTAGGATGTAGGGTAGGACAATGCAAATAAGTATGCCATAGTTGTATACATAGCCCCTGGTAATAACCCTGCTGCAGACTGTTACTGTGTGGGAGCAGTACTCTGGCCATTCCATGCTTCGGTGTTTTTAAGTAGAGACCATATCAAGCGAAAACACCCCAAACAACCTTTTAGCATGTCCATATATGTATGTGTACATCCCCGGAAAATCGAACTATACATACATGTCTATACCTATACCTGTAACTAATTTTTCCTTCTTCCTAGATCTATAAATGCATATGGTGGTTTCCAAAACTTGCCTGACCCCGATATACACCCCCAAATACGGAATCCAAGAGGTCCCCTGATTTGATTTTTTGCAAAACCCCCGTATCCCGAAACCTGGAAGCCTGAACTTCAACATAGCAAAACCCCTCATGTAACCCTAAGCCCTACACCCTAAACCTTAAACCCTAAACCCTAGACCCTAAATCTTTAACCCTAAACCCTAAACCTTCAGTGCCTGCAATGCCAGGAAGGCATAGGGGATGTTGTCAGCCAGCGAAGGGCCACTCCGCACGCAGATCTCTGCACTGCCCGTGCCAAAGCAATGAGGGGAACCTCTTGGGGATATAGTCGCCCGAATTTCAGGGGTTTAGGGTTTAGAGTTTAGTCTCCCTTTAAGTAGATAGAGTAGGGTGTAGGGTGTAGCGTGTAGGGTTTAGGGATATAATCCCCTCAAATAGATACAATATGAGGTATTAGGGGACCTTCTTATGGTTTTCGGGAATTCCATATTCTATCTATATACTTAGGAGGTGACTATTGACTATAGTTTTTTCTTTATAAGGGTCCCCTCAAGGCTTCAGGGTCGTCATCATAAAGATTCTTTACTCCTTCACCGGCGACTCAGGGAGCCCTCTACTTAAAAACCCTATTCCCCCGCACATAGCACCGCCTTGTGCTGGGAGCAGCGGCGTGCGAATGGATGCATAACCACCATCACTGAAGACTCTGAGCAATTGACCCCCCAAGGGCTGACTTGACGAAACAGAACACCTCAGCACCTCAGCGGCTCTGCCGAGCCCAAAAGCCGTGAAGAAGCTAGAAGCAGGTAAAGGCTACCAAAAAGGAGTGCTGCAAAGAAGTCCTACTTACAAACACCTTTAAGGACAAGTAAGCACCACGGCAAGAATATCGAAGGTAGAGAATCCCCAAACTTACCCTCAGGCAGCCATGCCACCAGGTCCGTCAAGTTCAGTGCCAACAGGTCTGGGCTGATTCTCCAGGGATCTTCGTATAGCCCTCCACTTCCGTACCTGACGATTTCTCAACACAGCGCCCTCTTATTCCTGGGAAGGTTGTCAGTCATCCCGATATCTCACGAATGATGCATCGTTTGGAGAAACCGTCAAGCCCTAAAAAGCCTTATGTGGCACTCCCCACTAGGTAGGCCTGAGCCCCCTGAAAAGGGATCCAACATTTTGGACAGCCCCACATGGCTGAGCAGTATTCGCGTGCACCGCAGGGCGTCAGGTTTTCCGCAGGAGCATCACGTGCTATCTTCCTACAGCAGCTTCGGAATCTCAAAATTAAGTGGGGAGTTTTGATAACTGTATAACCCCAACCCCCAAGAGCAGGAACCTACAGCTATCATGTGACTAGAAGGTGGTCCTCATTTGGAGAGTTAACAAAATACCAAAATCTCCTGAACCAGGATTCGGGGATTGCGTATGGTCTTTAGGTCTGGTTTGGGACTCAGGGCTTAAGGGTTTAGGGTTTAGGGGTTTAGGGCTTAAACGGATTGCCAGACTACGGCATGCTTAAGGATCCCAGAAAGACCATTTTGAGAGGACAAGGGGGGATTCAACTAGAATTGGCTTTAAACTCCAAACCTTAAACCCTAAGCCCTAAACGACAAACCCAAAACTCTAAACCCTAAACCCTCAAAACCCTCAACTCTAAACCCTAAACTCTAAACCCTCAAGTCTAAACCCTAAACCTTAAACTCTAAACTCTAAACCCTAAACCCTAAACCCAATCAACCCAATCAATCCCTCATGAAGCTGGGGGGTTGTCAAAATTATGGTCCCGTTTTGCATCCCTACAAAAAATACGGCACCTAATATTTAGGGTACCCAAAAAGGGACCATAATTTTGACAACCACCTAGCTGTCCCATATCAGGCAAGGCTTCGGGGCGAGCGCTGCCTGCAGAGTCGACAGATCTCCCCACCTCAGAAGCACTTTTTGGTGGTATGTTATCTAGGGATTATAGGGGTTATATAGGGATTATAGGGGTTATATGGGGATTATAGGGGTTATATAAGGGTTATGTAGGGGTATAGGTTAGGGAGAATGGAAAAGAAAATGGAAACCAATATTATACTGGGGATGTATATTACAGGGTTTAGGGTCTAGGGATACATAGGTGAATTTAAGGATATATAATGGTGGCGGGATGTATTGAGGGTAAACGGCGGGTATGTAGGCAAAGGAACAGGAAAATAAATACTACACACCCGTGGAGGGAGTTTTTGGTTGGGGGCTTAGCGTTCAGGGCTTAGGGACTTGGGAGGAGAGTAGAAGTCCAAAATCCTGAATCTGAAACCCTGAACGCAATAATCAATCCAGAAGGAGGCAGATAGAGAGACAGAAAGAAAAAACAAATACTCCGCACTACATGTCAGCTGAATGTGGGAAGTTAGGGTGGGAATAGAACATTTTCCTTGCTCCAACACCAACCCAGGCCCTACGAAGAACGAGGGTTTTGGGTGCAGGGTTTAGGCCCCACTCCCCAACAGTAAACATCCCCAATATAATGCTACTAGGTATGCAGGGAATACGTCTTGTTAGTGCGGCTGGGGAATCTTATTTCCACGGGGGGCGGGAGCGGATTTGAGGGGCTCAGAGATCATAAACCTTCGTTGTTGGAGTATGCTGAGAGCTCCAAAAAAGGAACGCTGTCCCTCACATTTGAACTTTGGTTCCAAGCGCGACCCAGTCACCCTCTCTTTCTGTGCGAGTCGCCAAAGGCAACGGTGTAGGCGTCCGTCGACATGCTGGCCAAGTGGAAACGCACGAGCCGCACAAGAGCATCTTCGTCCACGGCTTCAGGGGCAAAACCAAATGAGGCCTTTTGTAGGGCGGATATTCCAACCAGACCTGTGATGGACATGAAAGAGTACATCGCAACACCCTCCACATACACACCGTCGTCAGTAAACATGCTCCGATGCAGCCAGAGGATGTCGTTGATCATGGCAACCACCTGATGTGTAGCGTTTAGGGTTAAGGGCTCAAGGTCTGGATTGTGGGTTTAGGATCCAAGGTACACCAACCTTCACAACAAGATGCGTCAGGGAGGCCGCCCAAAATATTCATCTTGCTATACCTGAAGAATTACATTCGAAAGAAATGCAGGAATAAGGCATTGCCTTAGTATTAACCCTATGACAGACTTTTACTGAGAGGATGCAGTACGCAACATAAGACCCCTGATCGCCAGCAAAGCGCAGTGTGAACTGCAGTCAACAAAAACGAGAGCTGAAGCCATGTGAAAGTCCTAGTTTGTCAATGTAAGGCCCAAATCATTACCAATCTTGTTGTCCAAGAATGGAAGAAACCCGGCACCGTTGTCGTAGCCGGAGAGTTCTTGACAGGCTCTCGCTCTGCAGAACGTTCTTTGCAAGCCCCTTTAATCTGGGATTGCATGTCTTTGCCTCATTCCTTCTGTGCGTAGTAAACACATCCTTACATCCCAATTCTTGGCGCTACAGCCATCAAACCCCAATGACCGCACAAGGAATCCCGAACACGACTCCCGAAGCCTTAATCCCTATATGAGCTGTAGTCTAAACTCCTAGTATGCCCCTTAATAACCCCTGTAACCCCCCGTAAGGAGTTTAGACCCCAAACCCTAAACCCTAAACTCGATACGACTTCCCTTTCAGGAGCTTAGACTATAGCTCATACCGGCATCCACACACCTCAGCGGCCATTTCGGGCTCTTCATGCCAGAAGCCTGCACAAGTCTAACAGGGTTTAGGGGTATAGGGTTTAAGGATTTAGGGGCTCGGGATTTAGAGAGTTAGGAATTTGGGGTTTACGGAACAAGTTTTTTCTATTTGTCGGACCTTTTCTCCGCATGACGAATCTTACGAAGAAGGGAACAGAGTTCAAGGAACAGGGTTTAGGGGTTAGGGTCAGGCTTAGGCGCCGATTCAGGCTTAAGCACCCGAGTTTGAGGTCTTTTAGGTTGCAGGTGAACATTTTGAATGGTATGTTGGTACATATACATCGCGGTAACATGATGCAAGGCTTACGACGGAATAATCCCCTTCCCCTAAAATTAAGCCACCCATATGAAATCTTTCCAATATATACTACTATACTACAATAATGGGATTAGGGGGGTCAGGGGTTTAATGTTAGGGGGAGATGAATCCTATATAATCCCTCTATAGCCGCAGTTTTCACTTCATTTCCATGTAAGGGGAGGGGATAAGTGTTAGCCATGCTGCCAGCTCTGAGATCCTGCTTTGCGGCCGGGGCCAGGGTGAGGGTTCAGGGCTTCAACGTTTCTGGCTCCCTTATGCTCCTTGTTCGGATACAAATATGTTTGTATGTTACGAAGTGGATGTTAGCATAACACAAAAGGGCTGAACCCCACACCCTGAATTCTTTCGCGACAAGGGTCTAGGATTAAGGGTTGTGGGTTTGGGCGCGGACATTAATTGCGGCTAGAGCTTAGGGACCTGTGTTAAGCAGAGCTACAATTGCTTTGGATGAAAATCGCCTCGTAACAAATGAGGCACCAACAGCAAAACTCCTGGAACCTCTGAAGTTTTGGGGGGCCCTCCCCTAGGGCCAGATCCACGCAGGCCCCTCTTCAAACAAGGCTTGGTAAAATGGAGGGTCCTGGGGCGTGCTAAACCCTAACCCTACCCCTATCTGGTGAATGGAGGTCTCTCTCAAGGATTCCCTACCCCCGAGCATGGTAAACTCTAAACCCCATGTCTATCTACCTATCTCTGCAAATCCTTTATAAGTTATAAGGACCAACCCTAAACCCTAAACCACATGAGGGAACCCAAACTCTCAAACCAAACACCCGGCCTATGGCCCAAGTGATGGCTGCGATGCAAAGGTGAGGCGTCCAGTTGTTGCCTAGGGTTGGGTTTGGGGTTTAGGGTTTGGAGTTTGGGGTTACAAGGATAATCCGATGCCCCAATAAGGAACCTCCCCAGCTCCTTAAAAAAATATGAGGGAATGCGTGTTATTAGGAAAGTTCGGGTGGCTTATTAGTATGGTGAAGCAATTACCATACGGGCATAACGGGCATAGGGTGGAAGCCTTAACGAGTACCAATAGCGGAGAATCAAATAAGAGAAGAACAAAAGATGAATTAAACCCTAAACCCTGAATTATAGTTTCCATCTTATTTTCCAATATCCCCATATAAAGTTATAACCCTAAATAATCGCAATAGTCCATCTACTTAAAGGGACTCTAAATGACAAATGAGGCCTTAGGGAGGCTTTGGGCCTGGTTTCGGCGGAGACCAGAAAGGATTATATTCGCCCTTAAGTAGATAGAATATAGGGTAGATGGGGATCCTATTCTATACCCACAGCCATGTTCTATCTAATTGAGGGGGACTATAATCTCAGCTGGCATATTCACAGTTTAGGGTTTAGGGTGCAGGGCACACGCGGCATGGATTCTAGCAGAAAGAGACTACGCCGTGCAATGCAGACAGAAAGCTTGTGCTACAGGATTCAGGATGAAGGAGTATATACCAGCACGCCAATGAACCCGCAAGACAAGTTCAGATTAGACCATTCCCAAACCTTCAAAAGCAACCAAACGCTTAAACCCTGTGACCCCAACCCTACACCACAACTCAACTCAACTCAACGTCCCAAACTCTACATCCTAAACCTTTTAGCAGTCCCTGACACTAGCATGCCACAAAGTGGCCATTCCATAAGCTCCAGTGGCCGGTGTTGAAGGCAGAGCGGAACAAACCCATCTGCTCCTTCCTTTAGGGCTTCAGGGTTGGGGGTCGAGGCTTAGGTCTTCTTAATGTCTGCCATGCCCTAGCTATAACTACTCGTTTGGAAATACCGGAAAATTCCAGCGTGGCGCGTAGGCGTTGCAGGCTTAGGGTTCAGGGTTTAGGGGTTTGCGTTATTGTTTAGTTTAGCCAGCCTTTTTCCGCCCTGAGGATTCGGGACTTAAAGGCGCAAGTCTTCCGAAAAGTTTTGCAAGGCTTGCAGGGGGACTCCGGCTTTACCAGCCTCTTCGTCAGATAGTTTAAGAATTAAAGACATTATAGCCTCTCCAGGAAAATAGGTTTCGGCGGGCTTGTGTAAAGTAAACGCATCCACAAAAGGCTTCATATTCTACTATAGCAGTTTCCATTTCATGTTCCATCTTATTTTCCATGTTGTTCTCCATTATTCCCCAATATATCCCCATTAATATAATTGTCCTCTTAGGTGCTAAGCCCTAAACCCTAACCCTAAATCCTAAACCCTACAATCTAAACCCTACATAACCCCCTAACCCCCCATAAAATCCCTAATATAACCCTAGGGCCCGCCAAAGGACATCCGAATTTCTAAGCTGAAAGGCTTTTGGAAACCCAAAAAAGCTGGCACCCTAAACATTGAACCTTAGGTGGACCCCCCACACGGTGGACCCCCCACACAGCAATAGTGACTATAGGGGATAATAGGGATTATATTAAGGTCCTCTCATATTCCTATTATACCACTATTACAGTGTAGGGGGTCCTCCTAAATTGAACCCTAATCGAACACTCTGGCTCAAAAGGCAGTGTGTGAAGTAAAAGTCTGAAAGTTGAACCTGCTCAGGTTTCAGAATTTTAGGATCCCCTAAACCTTTACAGAAAAACTCTGCACGTATGAAAAAGCAAAAGCCATCTGAAGCCAGGACCTAGGGTCAGGGCCAGGGATACCCGCGAGATGTCAGCAGCATCCACCAAGTTCGCCTGGAGCGTTTTAGGGTTTAGGGTTTACGGTTTTTGCGTTTAGGGTTTAGTGAGGCTTTAAGATTTGGAGTTCTTCGAGAAGAGATTTAAGGTTTAGGCTTGAAGGATTTTGAGCATCACAGTTTGCCGATTTAGCGTTTGGATTTTGTGGATTTCGGGTTTGTGGACTTCGGGCTTTGGGATTAAAAGTTTTGGGATTAAGGGTTTAAGAATATGGGATCTAAGGGTGCAGTGCTCAGGGAACTGGGTTTAGGGTGAAACAATCTGGATTTTGGTCTAGGGATTTAGCGTCTAGGTAAACCCTATAGACCCTAAACCCCAAACCATCAACTTAAGATCTAAGATCTAGCCCCTTGGTAGCCCAGTAACCATATTACAATAAGGGTACCCTTTTTTCTGTTGGTATATTATATATGGAAACCCAGAACCCAAAAAGGGCCTAGGTGTTGGCAGCGCAATGGCATAGGGCGTGATTCCCAAAATTCGAGCAGCAGGGCCACCGCGAAGAGACCATTAGGGTTCAGGCTTGGGGGTTTAGGTTTAGGGTTTAGGGTTTAGGGTTTAGGGGTTCGGCCTTTAGGGCGCAAGGTTTAGGTCTAGAGGGTTCAAGGTTCAGAGTTAGGGTTCGAGGTTCAGATGCAGGGTTCACGGCTCATAATAGGAATTGTATGAGGTTCACGTTCGGAGCTTCGAACAGATTGTTGAGAAGAGTTTTGCGGGAGAGTTTAGCATTTTGTTTTTTGGCCACTACGACTTCTATTTGCTCTGGCCTTGAGGGTTTAGGGTTCAAGGTTCGGGCTTAAGGTTCAGGCCCTAAACTATGATCAATGAACCCTGGATCCTAAACCTTCAGCGATCGTCCATGACCTCTACATCCGAAACTCGCTTTCGGGTCAAGGCTTCAGCTTGTTCCCCCCAAAGCTCACCCCGAAGCCCAAGACCCTAGATGCTAAACCCTCAAACCTAAACCTTACACCCCAAACCCTGAACCCTAGAACCCTAAACCCTAAATACTCCCTTAAGCCCCATGGGCCCAGATCCCCAATCCCCATCCCGGAAGCGGGGCTCAAATCCCTGAGATCCAAATATCCAACCATCCAAACAAGGAATAGGGCTACAAAATTAGGGGTACTGTTAAAGGGGGTTATAGGGGTTATATAGGGATATACAGGGTTGAGGGTTTTGGGGTTGCCTAAAATTAGCGTACTATTTCGGGGCTCCCCATAACAAGTAATTAAAGTATA